GGATCTGGTTGCCTGATTGAGACTGTATGAAATACTGTGTTGACTTGACCCTTTTGAATTCAATTAACCAGAAGACAGTGTGCTAGAGATGTGCCTTATTCTTATTTTCTTTATAATTTTTTTAATGAAGTGAAGTCTAATTTATTGTTAAAGTGTGATCTTAATAGAGTTGTTTGCCATGATGCAAATGTTAAAAATCTAAAATGACAGCAGATAAAGTGGCACTATGTATAGCTTTACAGTTTCCAGTCTGTTTTTTCTGTCTGAGTTTATGTTAAAAACAAAAATCCAGGTGACCTTGGTAGTTAAGGTGAACTCCATATCTGTGACCTTGTAGATTTGAATCCTGCGTGGGACTTTCATTGTGTATGTTCTATTTTTTTTTATGTTGTTACGACATTGTTTTTATCTCATGTCTTTACTTTACCAACGCAGACAACTATACAACAAAGCACCAAGAAGGAAAATCAGTACAAACTCTGCAGACTTTTTTGTAAAAACAGTAATAAGTGAAAAGATACTGGCTTGTTACTGCTGGTAAGTTGCTGTGTGTTTTCACAGGAACAGTGATGTAATTCTTAACCGTAAACTCTCTTTATGTATTTCCTTTTATGCTGCATATTCAATCACATATTTCTACATTACTAAAATTATTTAACAAAACATTTTTTTAAAGACTTTGAGTGCTTGCTTTGAGTAAAAGAAAGTGCAAACATAATTCAATCCCCCATTTGATTCATTTATAATTTAGCACTTGAGAAAAGTAACTTTATTTTAATTAAAAGACAAATCTGACCCCTTAATACCCAAAATCAACAGTTTTTAAAACGGGGTATGAACAAACATTCAAAGGCTTGTCTTGAAAGACAGACATAAATCAGAAATAATCACATATTCTGATAAGCTGTCTTTGAGCTGGAGAAAGCAGGTGCAACTTTTTATCACATAGTATTAGCTTTGTAAAACGTAAAAGATATGTGATCTTGTGCTTGATCCACATGTATTTGGCCAAGCTGCACTCTGAGGGAGCACTAAAATGTCTTTGTGTCAGCACCACTGTGTGGGGTCCAAGTGGAAAACAACGCCAGACCCCCAGTGTAACTTGAAACTTGGAAGTGTAGATGTACATTAAAAGCTGTGGCTAACAAAAGCAGCACTGTGCAATTGATCTAAGCTGTGTGCAAAGGCAGGACTTTGGGGAAATCAGAAGCTTCATTAAAGTTTCATATTGTATTTCTGTACACTTGCAGTTTCATCTTGTGTCTCTATTTTCTTAAGGGCCCAAACAGAGTAAAGTTAGACTCACCCTGGGAGCTTGGATTATAAAAGCTTTAACAACACAATTGTTATGTGGGGAGGGGGAGGCTGTAAAAGTATTGTCATGGATTTATTCATGACAATAGTAAACGGGATTGTGAATTATAATTTTTTTTGTGTTGTAGTGGGCAACAGTGTGGTATGCTGTCAGAATCCTCTTGGCTTTATATGAACATGCACTGTAGGGCTCTGAGTGACTCTACAGTGTTTGTCCATTCCATCAGCGTTATGTGATGTTCTTGAGAATCTACTTGTCTGTATCTGCTTCTGTCTGTCAATCTGTCACTTTCCACTTTCTCCACATTCACCACATTTGTAGTGTCACCAAACAGACAGAATGACAGCAGATAGTCGCGCTCACTGTGTGTGCGTGTGTGACAGAGAGTCCTCTGACACACCCGTACACACACACACACACACACATACACACACTACCAGGGCATTAGTCAGCTAGGATTCCCCCTGTGCTACAAATGATCTGTGAAAATCATAAAATCCTGTGCCAGTCTTGGACAAATACACACACACACACACACACACACACACACATACAAACACACCTACACACACCTTTGCATGCACATACTCACAAATTGAAGTATACAAAGGTCCTTGCTCTTTTGCCTGATCTTTGTCACACACACACATGCACACGTGGCGAAGAGGAAGATATCTTTGATAGATGCCTAGGTTTGATGGCCTGTTGCTGGCAGAGGCTTTTAGAGAGGCTGCTGGTACCTCACTGTCTAGTTTCCCGCTGGGCCTTTTGTCCAAATCTGTTGGTTGTCGTTTTATAAATGAGGGTGTCCACGGGGAGATGAAAGGAATGGAAACAGGTGAGCACTTCACAGAGCATAGAACTGAATCACTGAGAAAATCTCTAATAACAGAGACACAAAAATACTTCACTGCATTAGAGTAAGCAGCTTAGCCAAGTCACAGTATACAAAGCTCAACAGTAATGTTGCATGCTTTTTGTTCTGTTTTAGAGCATTTTAAAGGTGGCAAAGTACACCAACTCACTATAGGGTCAGTTAAGCACAATGATAAAACTTTTTAAAAAATGTTTTTTGAGAAACATTTCAGTGAAATTCTTATTTTAAAAATGCATGCACGTATTTTACAGCTCATTTCCCAAAACCTTAATTTTCTTAATTAACATACAGTAGCAGTTAATAAAGACACTCAATTCAGTGGATTTCAATGTAATTATTCAGGTCATTGCAAGGTCTGATCTGTTTTTCTACTGCATGTTCATATTGCTTAGTTTTATTTTGCACAGTTATTTACAGCAAACACAGTCAAACTACCCAAATGCATCGAATGTATATAAAAGTGACATCACAGCCCTTCACCATTTAAAAAAAAAAATTGTTGTAAGTATATTGTGAAGATGATGTGATGAAACATCTGTAGTGTTCACATGATAGTTTCAGTGTCTTAACCATTCTGACTCAACATTCTTTCACATGGCATTCAGGCAAGGCTTCTGCATACTGTATAGCTTCCAATCATGAAAGATAGTTATATCACATCTTTCCAAGACGCTGTGACTCACCTTTCATTTGAAAAAGACAGTTGTAGTCTCATACAACACCTGTGTTTAAAATATATATATATTGGAGTCGCAAAATTCACTGACATTTGCTCTAACCTTCAAACCACAAAAAAAGGTGCATGATGCTATACTGAGGCTGCACACACCTAGACATAGGACTAGATGTGAGGATGTGTGCATGTGTGTGTGACACGATCGTCATGTGACAGCTGCGCCCTTTTCGACAGCACCCCCAAACGTCCCAACCACAAAATACATTACAAACAAATACCTCCCTCCTTCCTCCATCACATGGGCGCTGCTACACTCACACTACTCACGCAACTGCTTTCTCACCTCTTTTCTATTGCTCGCGGGAAGTGAGGGACAGAGAAGAGAAAAGAGGAAATGAGAGGGAAGGAGAGTGGTAAAATGGAAAGGCAGGAAAAGAGAGGAAAAGGCTACCCTGGCATTGGCAGAAATTGTTTCCGTGATGTTTGAAGTCCGCAACAGTCCAATTAGGCTGCAAAGAATCGGGATTACACACACACACACAAACACACACACACAACTCTGCCCTGTAAGAGATAGAGGCACGGAGCGAGGAGGAGGGGATAGAGAGGGAGGGATGGTGATGAGGAATGAAAGTGGCAGTGAGTTTTGGAGAGATGGCAGAAACCAGGGGAGAGCAGCCTCCATGCTCATGACAGCAGCTGAAATCCTATCCACTGGAGGAAAAGGGAGATGACACTCCCATGAAGGAAATGTGCAGGGAAAACGAGGAAAGAGGGGGGGGAAGAGATAAAAATGGCAGAAAGCAATATATATAAAGTGTGAAAGTCACAGCTAGAGAGGGGAATGGCAAAACGCACAGATTGTTTGGACATTGGTGCTTGTTGGAAGCTGTGATCAATAGGCAGATTGTTTGGACAGTTTTGGTCAGTGTGGGTCGGCAATTCAGCCAAACAAACAGCACGTGTTTGCCCATATTTACAATTTTGTCCCAGTTACCAAATCTCATCCCTGCCACACATAATATTTCCAATGTTTTGCATGGAAAAGGTGACACCATATAAACAGAAAACTGAAAGATTTGTGCTTTTATACACAGAAAAAAATCATAGACCCATTTAGTTATGTCAACCTACTTCTTTTTAACTGAAATAGCTCTCACAAGTTTTGGATTTTAACTCAACTGTATGAGTTTTAGAAAGTTAAACTTGCATTAATTCATTGTGTATAGGAAAAAATCAATCACTGTTGTGATCAAAAACATTGCTCCCAAGCACAATTCTGAGGCTGTTCTGTAAATAGTTGTCTAATAAATATAGCAAGTTCTGATTTTTGAAATTTGTCACAAGTCATTGAAGATAATAGCACAGTGGTGCTGTTGTTGTGGTCTGTCTTTAAGGCCCTTTATAGATGTAAACTGAAACAAATTTGGAATTTAAATCCCTTAACTTGAAATGGAAAGTAGTATTAATTTGGTTAAGTTGCTTTAACTTCAAACTATGAGTTAGAATAACTCAAACTTGTTCATTTAACTAACATTGAGACAACTAGAACACTGTAGTTATATCCACTTTATGAACTTAAATTTATGAGTTGAAACAAAGGCAATCTTCAAGTTGAGTTAACTTGCATTTGCAAGGCAGCAGGTGAACTTGCATTTCCAAGTTAAACTAACTTGAAATGTGTTATATTTAGTTATCTGAACTTAAAAATGTGAGTTGAAGGGGTGTAGAATTGTATGTTTGTTAGACAAAAGAAAGCAAGTTTCCTTGAATGGACAATGTAATATAGATAGTTGTTTTAACTCACAGTATTCAAACAATAAATTATCATTAATTAAATAAATTGTATCATGAGCATCATCATGAGTTGAAACAAAGCTTTTCTTAAAGTTGAGTTTACTCAAATTTTAAAGGCATCGATTGAACTTAAGTTTTTAAGTTGAACCACCTAGATCATTTTACAGTGTAAAACTGTATCTTGTGGTTTCCTTGCTGTTAATTTTTTTGTGTGTGGCTCAATAAGGCCTTTATGAACAAGCTTCTGGGGTGTAATAACCAATATTCTCCAACATGCAGCAATATCGGAGTCTTCCTGTTTTTATTTATTTGTGTTGCTGTGCTGTGTTTTGCAGACCTTGACACACCAGTTCTGACGGTGCACCAGACCATCAGCGATGTGCGTGGCAGTTACTACCAGGAGAAGACGGTGTTCCTGCGCTGCACCGTCAACTCTAACCCTCCCGCACGATTCATCTGGAAACGTGGGAACATGCTCATCGAACAAAGCAAGGACAACGGAGTGGACATCTACGAACCGCTTTACACTCAGGTACACCTGAACACATGTACAGCACAGACACACTGCTAGCTGTGCTGTCACTTTCTGCTCTCTGCCTTTCTCTTTAAGAAGAGCCTCAGAAATCCTCCCCATTGAGTTGTATTCTTGTCTACTGAAGTTTTTTCCTTGTTTTGAGAAAAATCTTTCACTCTAAATCTGTCTCTTGCGTGTATTTAGTTTTTTCCTGTTGAACATGCAGCATTGTCAATCACTGTTAAAGCACCATGGTAGTAGGAGTTGAATTGACTGTTCACTAAACTGCTCTCCCGATCGTCCAACAGCTTTAACCTTAACTTGGTAGGTCAGCAGGTTTGTCAAGCTGTCAATTACTCCACACAATAGTGGTACCCCATATTTTAAGATTTTGGAGGGTCGTGTGTTTTTTTGTTAGCGTTCTAGTGATCAAAAATCTGTTGTATATATGTAAAATTCTGTATTGTTTTTATTTCTGCTGTAACATCGGATGCAATCTTTAGCATGTTTAGCTACATATGCGTTATTGTAGTAATTTACCTCCAAGGCCAAGGAGCATTTCACACTACAGTATTTCGTGAGGTTACAGCACTGATTCTCAAACGCACTTCAAATAGCCAAAATAATTTTCATGCCTCCACCCCCACTACAGTAAATGTGGATTTAATTTCTTATCTGTCATTAACAATACAAGTCAAATTAAATCAAATCACATTTTATTTACAGTGCAAAATCACCATGCACAATGGTCTTAGTACACTTTCAAAGAAAGTAATACCCAAGATAAAATACAGAAGACACAAGATAGATAAAATAGCTACATTTTAAAATGTCAGATTATATATAGAGGATATTAAAAGGTACTCGACCCAACAAAAATTCTAGGAGAGGCTGTAGTGACGTGAGTACAAGTAGTTTTTTTCAGTCTATACTTAAAAATATCCACTAAACTTGCTTCCCTAACATATAGTAGAAGTCCATTGAGACTAGAGAGCACGGTATTTTAAGTTTGGACAAGTTGAAGACTTCTGGTGGCACAGCGGGGGAGACCAGAGAGAAGGGCATTACAGTAATCTAAGTCTGGAGGATACAAATGCATGGATTACAACTTCAGCATCATGCGATGATAGCAGTGATCAGATTTTGCAGATTTTGGCAATGTTACTTAGATGTCTCGGTAGTAGCCTTCATGTGCTTCTGGAATGTCAGACGAGAGTCAAAAATCACTCAAAGGTTCTTGATGGTAGAGGTTTTGGAAATGATACAGACGTCAATGTTAACTTTCAGGTTCTCATACAGATGCTCATGTTTGGCTGAACCAACAACTAATAACTCTGTTTTGATGAATTTAGGAATTGGCTGCAGGTCGAGCAATCCTTATTGTTGAGCCCTGGTTTGGCAGTCATCAGTACAGCACGTGTGAAACTCAACAGAAATCACATTTACATTACATTTATTCATTTAGCTTCCGCTTTTATCCAAAGCGACTTACAATTGCTATTTATGTCAGAGATCGCACACCTCTGGAGCAACTATGGGTTATGGGTCTTGCTCAGGGACACATTGGTGGATGGCTCACAGTGGGAATTGAACCCTGGCTTCCACATCATAGGCAAGCATCTTATCTATGCGGCATCACCAAGAAAAGAAATAGCTCACTCGTTAGCTACCCCCATACACTATGTAGTTCACTTACATTGTCATAGATCAGATGATATATGCTTGGCCACATGGAGGTTGATTCTCAAGTCAAGAAGCATTAACAATGATGTTAGATCGGAATCAACTGCAATCAGTAGGTCGTTTGATTCAGGCAGTTTCAGTAGAGTGTCAGGACCGAAAACAATTAAAAGAGGGAACGGGATCTAATGAGCAGGTTGTAGGTTTGGAGGCGTTAACCAAGCTAACCAGGACCTCAGGTGATTGAAATATACAAGATTCAAGTAAGCAAAATAGCCTTGCTAGCATCAGAGCACTTTTGTTTGTTTATGTCACTACATGAATCATATTCATGCAACTTTAGGTCTTTTCAACATCCACAACCCCCTGAGTGGCTCTATTGTCTTGTTGTCTTAATTACCTAGCTAGCTGCAGCTGATAAAATCTGTTATCCGTTAATTTCAACCAAAGTAATCCATGGTCGCTGGATAGAAGTGAGAATACTGCTTTTATCTTTTAAAAATTGATGACGATTGATTGTTACTAAAGTATCATTAACTTTGCCGTACAAGGTTTAGAAAACAGTAAATTGCCCACTCCTTAATTTAATCAGATTATATTTCTTCACTATCAGAGTAATCCAGGTCATTGTTATCTGAAACAGAATGAACAGGAAGTACGAGTAGCTAGAACACATATATTTGCGCCATAATGTTAAAAAAACATTCTATAGTGCTAAAAACATGGAGGTGTACTTTGGTTGAAGTTCAAGACTCAGCGACACTCATCCTCGATAACTTCTCTTCAGTTTTCACTAGATATTGCAAGCATGGCAACTTGACAGAAGAAGGTAAACTGAGTAGCTAAAGAAAGGGATTATCTCAAAATTGCGTGCTTATGTGCCAAGGGTGCTTCGACACATAAGCGTGCCTTAAGCTTCAGACAAATTTTGCAGTCTATTAATTTGGGCCTACAGCCATTGTATACACAACCTCCAGTTGTGAACTAAAAAATAAAGCAGATTAGAAAATTTCTAACAAAGTCTGGTGTAAATCATGCCCACTTCCGGTATAATCCATAATAATGTGTCGGTAGAATGCAGACACACAGGTAATTATTTGTCCGGTGTCTAAATTGTTAATTATTGTAGTGTCACATGTTTGTTCTGACCTCTCTGTCAACAGACACAATCCGACAAGTTAGAAAGTAGCTGACCACCCAGTCAGCCAGTTACTGAATCAGTTAGACAGCAAAAGCCAGCAAGTTAACCAAATAACAAAAATAACTGTGTGATTGCTTCTGTGTGTCCAAGAGAGTAAGTATGTCTACATGAAAAGCCCAGAGAAAGCTACCGGAGTAGTAAGATACATTGTTTTATGAACAGTCTGGGAGAGGGTGAAGGGATTTAGCCTTTTCATTTTTGCACTCAGATCACTTTCATTTTCCTAATGGGCTCATGTGAAAGCCACTTGCAATTCATCATCCATATTACTTCATAGATCTGTGATGCTTCAGTTCAGTTGATAATCAGGGCATGTAGGACATGCAAACACAGTATGTGTTAGTGCCTGTGTGTGTTTATCTCAGTGTGTCTTTGACCCTGTTTATCACAGTGGGGCTCATCAAAAATTGAAGTGTCTTTTACGCCAGATTACAACCCAGTTTAGAAAAGCTCTGAGCGTTCGCATTGATGAAATGTTACATGTCACGCAATGGAAATGTAGCCATATTAGATTTATGTTTATACGTGTCTTTCATTTTTACCACGTAAAAGATTATGTGGTAAAAAAAAGTTTTGAAGAACGTAAGACGTTAGCATGACGGTGTCGTGTGCATGTGTTTTTTTGTCCCATCTAGGGTGAGACCAAGGTGCTGAAGCTGAAAAACCTAAGACCCAAGGACTTTGCTGATTACACGTGTCAGGTGTCTGTCCGCAATGTGTGTAACATCGAGGATAAGTCGGTCACCTTCAGGCTCACAAATGCCACAAGTGAGTTTGTTGATGAAAGTACACTGAAGACAAACAAATGCTTGAAATGCTTGTGTGTGCACAGACATGTACATGGCGTCACACAGCCAAGATCTTTTCCTCCTCTAGCAGTTTCTTGCTTTGGCTTTTTTTTTTTCTCTTTCTTTGATTCTCCCATCTCATCTGACTTTTCTCTGAATGCTCATTGTGTCTTGGCTCAGGAATCTCTCTCTCTCACTGTCTCTTTCTCCCTTTGTTAATATGCCTTCCCCCTCACTTTAGCAAGAAATAGTATTCTCCTTTCATCTAATTTTCTCACCTCCTTTAATCTCTCTCTCTCTTGCTCTCTCTCTCTCTCGTCATGTGTCTTCCTTTCCTTTCTTTTCATGGGTTTTTCCTCTGCCCTTTGACTTTCCACTCAGACTTGCTCTCAATCTATCTCCTCGTCTGCCTCCCAGCGTGCCATATTGTCTATCTGTCTTGTTTTTCTGTTGCTGAGAACTCATCTCAGGGCCGTCAGCTGTAATTCAGTTGTCACACTCCCTGTTATCTCCAATTCACTCTACACCCCTCTGTCCATCTGCACGCCATCGCCCGGCAAGTCTGTTACTTACTACAACATTGTTGCCGTTGACAACCCTGTCGGGTCTGTTACAATCAGACTGATACACCACAACGGAAAGCCCCATGCTCGTGAGGTATTTTTATTTTTTTTTATTATTATTATTATTTTCTCTTCTTCTCTCCATTTCTTCTGGCCTCATTTTCTAAATGCCAGCCAGCCTGAATTTATGTTGGCAAATCTTGCTCAACAAGTGCTTTATAGCATTTTTCAAACCCATTATCAGTTATATTTCATTCCTTTCAGTAGTGTATTCATTTGGAAAGTCCTTGATGTCAACTGTAATGAAACATGTTTGTTTTCTACAAGCTCAAGAGCCATTTGAAGATAAGAGGACGGCTCAGGGCGTCTTGTCATAATCCAGTCTTGAAAATAAATAATTTAGCTTGAAAAGAAAATCTTGAAAAGATAGCAGAGTTGTAATGATTTCTTAAATTGAAACGAAGCTTTAGGTTAGTAAACCAGCATTTTAACCAAAACATAGTTTCTTTAAATCACCAACTGAAAATGAAACATTAACATTCATTCATCATTAAATAAGCAGTTGGTAACAGGCGGGCTGCGCATCATGTGCATCCACAAAGGCTGGAAACAAGGGGAAATAACTAGCCTGGCTCTGATCAACGTCACCTACTGGCTCTACTCTAAACCTCAGTAGTGTGACAGTCACTACCCCCGGCCAAGAAACAGTCCTGCACATAACATATTTACCATACAGACATGAGGCTGGTATCCATCTTCTCATTTAGCTGTCAGCAAGAAAAAATGCGCATCTCCTAAAGTGTAAAATAATATTTTTGAACAAGCAACTAAACCTGTAATTTGAAAGTTTGGTCTCTCATTTGTATCAAAAAGATCATATATAAATGCACTGAATGTAGCTGTAAGAAAACAAATTAGAAAATAATTATACATAAAATGATATATTATACAATGGAATGCATAACATCTCAGTCACATACTAAAGAGTAAAGAGAGAAAAGGGTTGTTTTTTGCTACGTTTTTATGATGACCATAACAGTCCATGACTCTTTACTTTTTTCTTTTTATTTACGGACTTTGAACTGAAAGAAAGGTTATCACTTGAGAAATAAGGCGTTTTTCAGATAAGAGCTAAAGTCTTCTAAAGTGAGCTGAAGGTGGAGAAGATAAAACCTCAGAGTACAAACTCTGTGATTAAGTTAAGAAGAAAGGAAACAGAGTTTGGCATCTCTGTGAAAGACTGAGAACGAGAAACAAGTAGTTGCAGACAGATACAGGAAGGGGAGGAAATGAATGAAAAGAGAGTAAGTGCGAGATGGAAACAGCTTGCTGAAATGCTCTGGAACACAGAATGACGCTAATGAATCAGCTCCAGGTGAATGTACTGTAGCTCACAGACATGCTATTAATTAGAGCAAACGACATATTGGACCAGCGATGATAAATGATTAATTATGATAAAAGAGAAGTGCTTTTATTAGAGAGTGATCTGAATGGAACATAATAAAAAGGATAGAGACTAAACATTTGTGCAGATTAAGGCTGACTAATTGTGTTCTGATGTATTTGAACATATGAATGGCTTCTGAATGTTTTAAAGTAATACTCAAAAGGTCTAACTAAGATTAGGACACTCAGCAGTCCTATCCATCGTGAGCTCATTTTTGGCTCACTGGCCCTCAAATCAGTGCATATCTGTAACTTTTCTTAAATTTTACAAAAGTCACAAAAAGTGTTGTTCAAAATCAACAGGTACTACAGGAAAACAAACAGGTCTTAATGCTCCAGGTGTATGTGATGAGTGTTCTTCACTCTCATTCCATCAATTGTATCCCCAAGACTCAGTAAACATAGAGAGAGAGAGAGAGAGAGAGAGAGAGAGAGAGAGAGAGAAACCATAATAATACATATCTGCCTGGTGCTGGCATACGGGCTTAGAGACTTGCCAGAACAGCCAATCTGTCTGGACCTCATAGCCTGACTGAGTGACTGAAAACACACTGCTTTACACAATGGTATACTGCCATCCAACCATACACACAGGTTATATTCTCGTCGCACATTGAAGAATTTAAAAAGAAGCAGTCAAAATCAAAATAACATAATGTGTGTTTTGAAACTTAAAAATACAAATGGAAGTAGAAAAACGAAAAATGCAACTGAGGGAAAAAAACACTATTGCAGGCCTGTATGTTGTTGTGGCTGAACATATTTCAGCACCAATGTTAAGAGGCAAAGTGGGAATAAAGTACTACAGAGTTTTAAATAATTCCAGCTACAGGAGATGGTAACATAAACATGATGTTATCTCAGAAAAAAGACTCAGATCTCTAAAATGACACGGGATGGGAAAACACAGAAAAGAAAGAAAATTACAAAAGAGATAGAGACCAGAGAAAATGAAATTGATGCACAGAGGGCAGAGAGTGGAAATAAATAGACAGATGGACATGGAGACAGAGATAGGGAGATTGTAAAAGGAAAACAAACAGTAAATTGCTGCTTTGGTTTTTATCCACTAAAATATTTATCTAATAAGCGTATTTTGTTATTCCACACTGAGCTCCCTTTTGTCCTTGTGGCGTCAGTCACTGCTTAGATTAGATACATCCAACTAGGTCACACCATCACCGCTGATTCACGGTGCTGAGACAAGGGAATTGATTGATTTTTATATCATAATCCCAACCTGGGATTTGAGTATGTAGCTTCTGCCCTCCAATAACTGCTGACAGCGGCCAAATCCTCTTCCCCTGCCTCTCATAAAATGAACACAGTTGCGATGCTCTGGATCTTGTCATGTTATTTAAAGCAGTGTAGTACGGGGGGGGGGCAATTGAAATGAGGCCTTGGCCTTATTGAGGGGTGGAGCAATCCTGTAAATTGCAATAGATTGAATTCCACCATAACTGAATGTAGCATGTAGAATGTAGCAGAATGCAGAATGAAATGTCATGCCTCACAAATGTACTGCTGTATATTTCAGGGTTCTGAAAGTCCAGGGTTTTTCAGCCATCAGTCATCAACACATGAGTCATTTTCTCCCCTTTCACCCTGAGCAAAAGCCTGAATACCACCACCGCACATAATGGCATGCCATTTTTCGGTGACTTGCAAGTTTTCCAACAGAACTGATAAAAAGAAGACACAGCAAGGTTTTATTTTACCAAGTTCATTTCAAGCTAAACACTGTGCTACACACAGTAAGGCAAATAATTAATCTGGGCAGTAAATTGGTATGGATTGTCACAGTAGTGAAATGGTGCAGTGAAAAAAAGAGCTGCTCCACATAAAAAAGTAAAAGGAGAATAACATATCAGTATCACATTGTAAGTAATTGTCAGGTTTAGATAACGATCAGAGACTTTCTGACAATCCCTAAGTGCTGTGCCTCTCATGAGCTTCATTATTCAGCTCTATTTGTCAATATAGGTGATAATTTGGAAACGCTGTAGATGTTTTGTCTCCTGTTCTCTTGACATAAATAGAACAAAATGCTGGATCACAGAAAAATTCAACTACGCTACAATTTTCAATTCCATTCCTGAATAATGTTGGTGGCAGGTATGTTTGCCGAAAGAAACACGCACACACACACGCACACACACATACACACACACACACGCACACACGCACACACACACACACACACACCATAATTTAAATCTTTTGACACGCTTGAGAGAATTGAATCAGCCAGTAAATCTGAACACTGGGAGAGTTGATTCAGTCTTTTATTGATTACTGGACCTCTTACTACAATATACCTTCACAATAATTTGACAGTCATACAAGTGTGCAATATATATGATGAGATCAATACGTGGCAAATCCTTCCGTGGATGAAATCCCCCTTGAAAAGTTGAAGATCAATGGGCAATCTGCAATAACCCTTAGTACTGTGAAACCTCTGTGGTGGGACACTGTACCATATCTGTGCAGTCAGTTTTATGGAAGGCTGTAAGCCATGTCTGAGAGTGGCCAGGTGGAAGAGAGAGCAGATCTGAAAAAAGGCAACTTAATTTATTTAAATGTTTTGTTAATTAATCCATTACAATACATACGGTTTGTTTATATTGTTTCTTTGTTTATTTCCATACAAATGTATGTTTAGTTATTTAACCAACAGATGTGTGCCTAGGCTGGGATATGACATTTCTCAACCAGTCACAAATCCAGTCCACTCAGCGGATCAGGGTGGGGATATAGAGCCACACCACTGACAATAATCATTTTGCTTTAATCGCTTTTTGTGAAGTCACTGGAACTGGCTTTAAGAATGTCAGAAATTCACTTCTATACCCTTTGCATTTGAACTTTCCTGTTTTCCGACATGTTGTTTTGATTATAAGTTGACATGCAGCCTCTTTTCAGCAGTACTCTGCTTCACACAATTACACGCATTTATACACATGAG